TCCAAAGAAGGAGGGGCCAATTAGAGCACATTTGTCTATCAGCACCCACGAGCCCGGCTGAGCTTTTGGATAAATAATTACACAGCTATAAAACATGTAAACTGTGGGCAGACACACCACCTGAGGCAGTCTGGGGCATCATTGTCATCCGCAAATAAAAATACTTGCACTCTGCGGCAGCAGCACAGTCAGTGCAAGTGTTAAATTAGTGCAACTCATCTGTGGCTTCAAAGCAACAATGAGCTTTTAATCAGAGGCATCAGGTCGGGTGGAGATTGATTTTTTTTTTACATGTAAACATCCTATTTTGCTGTAAATTAAGGAGAGCCATATGGGTGGCTCCCCCCTGGTGACACTGAAGGAGGAAGGACCGACGGCCAGAACGGCTCTTATCTCTGCTCTTTTCTTTCTCTGTTTGCTCCAGTGGTGTTTACTATCACCCCAGTGTGGGCTGTGACTTACAGCCCTGCAATGCCACTGCAGGTTAACACATCTATCATGGCTGACTCAGAGTGAAAGAGACACAAAATAGGCAGAGTGCACAATCTTTTGTGACAGCAGACTTAATACAAATGAATTATTTTCCTTATATTCATTTTTTAAATTATTGTTAGGAGTTAATGTTATTACAGGGGGTCCTCGACTTAATTCGGAGTAAGGAACTAGTTTTAATGCCGTATGTCGGAATGATGGAACATTACTTTCTTAATAAATTATGAAAGATGGCGACGTAACTATGAAACACTTCAGGTGGAGGACACCCTGGATTCTGCCAAGCCTGCAAATATTATAAATTTATGTTATGACCAGGTTACAATTTGCTTAAAACGACTAGTTTAAACAAACAAACAAACAAACAAAAGACAATGCATTTAAATGCCGTCACCTCCATCTATACTTTATGTCAACTCGGAGGGCCACAACCCTCACTTTGTGACTCATTGCACTGGGAATCAGGAAAACATACTTGTCCAACCTTGTTTGTTGTAAACACTGTTCAACCTGTGTTATTTACCCAGGTGATGAATATATCCTGGACACTATAAGCTTCCTAGATAATAAGTTCAGATGAACAGATAAGGGATCAACTCTAGCCTGTCTGGGTTACGTGTTCTTTTCTTAAAGACATTCTTCTGTTTTAATCCAATGACTGCAAACAGTCATACGTGGTCCAGGCCACCAACAATGTTTTTGGAGTCTGTGTTGTGCTCTATTTAGGAAAAGCCGCAGCGAAACTATATGTTGAAGAACACAGGGAGAAGGGACGAAAACATTTTGGTGTGGAGAACACTGGAACAAGAAATTACAGCCCTGCAGGTTTGTGCATGTGCGTGTCTGTGCGAGAGACAGAGAGCGGCAGAGAGACTCCTGTATTGTGTAAAATCACAGACTTCTTCAAAACATATCTGGCCTCCACGTCATAAACACCACTTCACTCTGAAGCTCACAGCCTTCAGGCTCCGGTTCATTCTGACATTGAGGTTTATCAGTTAGATTAAATGAATTTTTCACCTGAACTTTGTTTCTTTTCCTTTTGAACAGAGTATTCAACCTCAAAAATATATAAATATATTTATAAAAAACCATTTGAACATACAGGTTGATTCAACAGCTGAACACACTCCACTTTGACCTGGAGGCTTCTGATAAAAACCTTATTTAAATATAAAAGACACTATGAGGAAAAACAAGGCACAAAAAGCTCATATTCTCTCTTTAGTGATTAATTCTGTTTTATATTAATTAAACCAAACAATAAAAGTGTAAAATCTCACCCACTCGCAAAAAAGAGCTGAACAAAAATACACAGCAGTAAATTTACTCCTTGGACATTTGCCTTCCTTTTCAAACTGATAGTGATACCAACAAACCCACATTGTGCACTGATCAAACCGGAGGACGGTCCTGCATGTAAAACAAGTGCAGCGACAACAGAAAGAGCCCGTAGCCCCGACTAATTACGTGCTGAATAGCTGTTTTCACCAGGCGTTTGTTACATGAGAAAGTGAACCACCCCCTCCCCTCACTCACACACACTACAGAGCTGAGGAATTCCAAGAGTTTGGTGAAGCACAACCGATCTGGAATGTGCTACGCCGACCCTCTGGGAGAAATATAAATCGTGATGAAGCGCATTGGTCAGTGTTGTGGAATCAGACTGAGCCACTACAGGTGTGCAGTGCTGGAGGGGATACCACTGTAAAATGGGCCTGTAAGGTACACTGTGATGAAACAGAAAAATGGGATTGGTTGATCCAAACCAGGGCCAGTGATCTCCCTGCTTTGATGCGGCCACATCCCCCCCCCACGGTAAGAGAGTCCACGTAATCGCAGATTAATAGAGCAGGCTAATCTCATTCACAAAGAGGTCAGTGCTGGCAGACAGACACCACACCCCTCCCCCAGGTAGCAGAGAGGACCACAAGTGGACAAACTCCTGTGTAAATCATTTAAAGAGATCAGTAGTGCGATCCACTGTGTGTGAAGGTTTCCATCTCAGTCTGCTGAGACGGAAACATTCAAAACAACACCGACCAATAAACTGCTCACTCCGCCAATGTCAAGATAAGAACATGTGTGGGCCTAGAAAAATCAATAGGAGGTAATAATGAAGTTTGCCTCTGGAAGTGATACATATTAGTGTTATCATCAAGATCTGGGTCTATCTCGGTGGGTTTTCGCAGGGACAGGCTTTCCTCCAAACAGTCAAAATGAGGAAACCGATGGCTTAAACTGTTGGAAGCGTTTCATGATGAATCCATTTGTCAAAGCTACGACCTGTATCAGCTGCAAGTTGACTGTGAACATTGATTTCCTACTGCTGAAATCAGCTCCGACCTCCATTCAGCACAATTTTCTCCCATGTCCAGGGGCGGGATTTAGATGACATAACAGAAATGGAATAGTTCCACCGTCACTCAGGCCTGGTTTCAATGGGACACGCAATCAGACTTACTTATTAGTGCTCAGCTGCTGACCCAGTGTCCTGTATGTATTTTATAAAGAATATCCTTATCATCTCCATTAGCCAAGAACTCTTTTCTGCCTTATTTTTAGCCACTGTTATCACCACTTTAGATCAAATCCGACAGTACTAGCAAATTCTGATTATTTCCCTTCACTCAGAAGACCTTCTTCTTTCTGATTTAATGGAATTAAAAACAACAATGGGAACACAAGGCTCTTTTGGGATTTCTAAATTCTTCTTAGCGAAATTCAGACACTGCTGCTACTGCAGTAGTGCAGCTGGCCTGCTTGGTTGTGCAGGTTGTGCCCCATGGCCTCCTTTCTGCGTTGTTTAAGAGCCTTCTCGCTTGGCTGCCATAGATGGCTTTGCATCTTCCCAGCAGCCTCCTCAGTCCAGGCCACCACAGTTAGGAATTTCTGGAAGTGCCTGCACAGGCTTCCACTAACCCTCTCTCTCTCTCTCTTTCTGCACAGGTCTGTGCTCTCAAAATATTTATGCATACGCAGGTACATAATTGTCCATGAAATGCACTTTGGGATGCTGCCTAGACTCGAGCACTTGCCGCTTTCCAAATGACTAGTGTTAACGGGAAATTATTCAGACACAGAATCAATTGGCAATCTTATCTAAGCCCATAAAGCAGGGCCTGAGATTTGATTTAGGATTAGGGAGAATTAGAGTATTTGGCGGAGGAAGTTAATTGCAGGCAGAAAATGATTCCCCTCCCCTGGATGACTCAAGAGTGACACTGCATGATTTGGAGCCTTATATAACCACACATATAAAACCGCGGTCTCCATGAATCAGAGACGACAAATGTGGGTGAAAATTGAAACAATATGTGGCTCAGACTTAAGGCAGATCAGCACAGAGGTCTGGCCGGCAGAAGACGTTACGCAACTACTACAACTACTACTGCAAAGACAGGTGGAAAGCAGCAATCAAGAAGTGAAAAAGAACACAAAATACTGCTCTTATCTCCAGGACTGCTGACAGACCATACATCTTCATCCTCACTGGGCCAGGGCAGCTTTTTCTTCAAAGCTCGATACCAACATGAACAGCCTACATCTGTCCAAATAATCAATCAACGCACGCAGACGACAGAGACAAATGAAAACAGGAATTCATCACTCCTGATACAGATTTTCTTGTTTGTTGTGACAAAATAAATATTCTGCTGTGTGGACATTATTTACTTGAGATGAAAGACAAACTCCTCCGCCTGGAAGGGAGATATTACATAAAGTAAAAGTTGTGTTGAAAGGTATTTTAAATTGTTAAGGGGGTTCAGACCAAAATGTTCTTCTGGCCAGAAAACCAAGCAGGGTTGTCATCTAACACACCAGGGGATTGAAAGTAGTTTTTTTGGACGATTCCTTTTGACAGCATATACAAAAAGTTAAAGAGTTTAAGCACAAACTGCAAACTGTCCCCAGTTCTCCCGTCAGTTCATCAACAGTCAAATTTAGCTACTATATGGAGGAATTGGGTTCCTTCGCACCTAACTTTCTGACAAATTAAAGCTCGCACATAAGTTCTGAATAATCTGTTTCTCTCCACACAGCAGTTAAACTAAGCATGAACATTAAATTAATGTTACTTGTCCAATGGGTGAGTTGTAAAACCAATTGCTGCTTTAGGGTTAGTCTGGAGCAGGCTGCTAATGTAGCATGACACGACTTGAAACAGCTCCGCAAGGGTTAGCATAGCATTTGTGGAGTTATGGATTATACTTAACAGAGAAAGTTAGGTATTATATAAATATGACAAATATTGTTGTACATGTGGCAACACTGACAGATGGGAAGGAGCAAATCAACTATGACGATCCATCGGTGAGCATGAGGCAACCTTGGAGCATTCTGTTCAAAACAGTTGGCGCAACATCTCTGGAACTTTGGATTATTCTAGTGACTGTAGTCAAACACAAAGTCTGGATCTTTGAGCTCCAGTCAGGTCAGCATGTCCAGATGGCTGGAGATGACAGTGAGAAAATAAACGAAACAAAAAAAAAAAACTCCGGTATTACCTGCTGATTTTGGAGTGAACTTGTCCCTGTTGGCCGCACACACGGCCAAGAGCCGATAGCCCAGGTCCAGGTCGAAGCCTTGCTGCGCTGCTACGCGACTCACCACCTAAACACAACCACAGAGCTCAGGGTTAAGTTGTGACGTTTTCAATGTTGCAAATAATGCAATGAAAGGAGATACTTTAAATAGAGTAATGAAAAAGACATCAATCCTTCAAGAATTTGCACCCAAAGTTAGTAAAAGTCCATATTTTAGATAAGCATTTTGACAGGTGTCTTGAAGTCTGGATATAGGTGAACGAAGGGTTTCCACATCTAAATGTCTGATAAAAGCCTTTGGTCTGTTCTTCCCTGAGCAGCAGCATGTCAGTGATGTTCTTAAATCTTTACAGAGACTAAGAGCTACCTGCTGCCAGCATATAAATCATTCACTACATGTTTAAGAGCTGTCAGCTAGAAGAACCTCCAGTCGGAACCAAATAGAGAAATGATGCTTCCTCACACCCTCAGAGTCAGAGTACAGAACATTCTGTCACGATTTTTTTTTTCTCCCAGATTTGCGGAGTTATATAAGCGTGACTTTTGGCAGCACCGAAGACCAAACACATTGGAACTTATAGGATCAAGTCGCTACAAGTTTATCAGTTCCATATGAGTCGGCGGACAGCAAGATGAGAGGAAAATGTGGCCTCCAGTGCATCCATGCCTGCTGTGAGGAAACATTAGGAAACATCCACATGCCGTATAGGAGACGATGTAAATCAGGCTCTGGTGGCACATGGCGCTTTGATTTACCATCACCATTATCGGCTCAAAGAGACCTGCTCTTGAGCCTTCCAACCTCCAGGACATACAAAGGGCCCGAGCGCCGTAACGGGGCCTCTGCACACACGGATTCCTCTCCTCGCCCTGCTTTTCATAGGCACGATCCCGCTGTCACACTCCAAAGTTCAAGACAAGCCTGGAGGTAGCACAGCTGAACACTGCTGCCTGCACCGTATCATTATCTTGGGTAAGTATAGTCTTGACGTGACACCAAAACACTGTGTGTATATATCTGGTCCGTATTTATAGGAATTCCCCCATTAAGAGGAAGATATACGAGTATAGGCTGTCTAATTAGGATCTAAACTTGTAAGGGACCCTTTGCTAAATTGTAATTCCAGTGTAGGAAGTTACAACAAGTGGTTCTAATTTCAGGACTTAAATTGTACAAGGACAGTGGAGGCAAACACGCACCTTTACATTCGACGTCTTTATTTATTTCAACAATCTAATCTCCTCTGTGTGAACAGCAATTTCAGCTACAGGAATGTTTTATTTGTCTGTAAGCTTCTAGAAGAAATACTCTTCTTTACAAAATGTAGGCTGCAGGCTGACAACTAAGTAAAGATACCAAGCAGTGTATCTTTAGTTTCCCACTCTATGTTTTTGTTTGCTCTGATAAACAAGGAAGAAAATCTTCAAAACATTTCTTAGTTTAACCACTAGGTGGCTTGATTCAAATAACCCAAGTTGTTTGACTTCATAATAATGGAATTAAAATCACATATCTGTTGGTTGTTAAATAACTTTAAATCTTTGTTTGATTGGTGATAGTTTCTCCTGATTGATTTAAATTAAATAAATAGTTACAATATGAAATAAAAGTTATCAGTTAAAACATGTGACAAATTGTAATGAGTAAAATAGAAAAAAATATTTCTACTTCATCATTACCACTGTTAATTAGACATTAACCAATCGAATCTGAACACATTTTAGATTCATCCCATAAAGACAAATCCCACCGTCACTGTAAAGATGTCTGTATATCTGGTGCATGGTATTTGAAAATGACATAAAGTCAACATCACATAACGCACGGCGAGCACACAGCGCTACTGAAAGTTGTCCAATCTCATGAACGTCAGCGCGGAGGCAGCCAGTGTTTTTATGATCACATCAGTTCTCCTGCTTAGCGTTCTTCACACTAACATCTGCAAAAGCCATGCACAAGAAAAGGAGGGGACGGGTCTCCACAGGAAACAAATTGAATTGACTGGAAACAGAAGAAGTCACCTGCTGCTGTACATGGAATCTGTAACGCAAACAACCGCCGAAGTGCTGTGTCCAATTCAGCTGCGTTCTCAACAACACTTCTCATGAATTCCCTCCACTGGTGGAGCCAAACCTGCTTGATGGGTTTTCAAATCACATCAGAATCTACTGCTGGAGGCCAAATAAAATGAACATGTTAAATACGGCCCTAGAATGACAGGTGACGGGTGAGTGATGCGTATGCAGTCTAAACAAATTTCTGCAGGTCTTGCTGCCCAAGACGTGATAAGAAATAATTCGTCCATCACATTGACAGACAAGTTTGAGCAGCACTCAGAAAAGCAGCAGTAAAAACTGCGTTCAAACCTGCGTTTTTGGACCAGTAGGAATAGAGCTGGACAAGTCTGACTGAAGGTTTACTTTGTGCTAATGAAACAGTGGTAAGGTAATTTATTTTTGTTTAATTTATTTTTGTTTATAGTATAGTTTTTGTTTATTAGAGTCTCAAATACAGTCAAGTCCCGCCCCACCTCTCCGTGTTACAGGATACTGCTTATTCAATTAACCCGAAGCCCCCAGACATTTGAGTCAAAGAATTAGAGCCTTTAGAAGTGTGTTTCTTTGTAAGCACTGATTGCCTTGCGGTTTGAGGACATTATTGTGCTTGTCCTGTTCATGTTCCGCTGGGCCGACTTCATGAACCACTGCACAAACTGTAACTGAACTCTCTAAAAGGTGGCCGAGTCTCAGTAGTTTTTAAACGCTCAGATGCTTTTAATTTTGACCTCGGTTAAGATCAGGCAACTAAACAAACACGAGTTTCCTTGTGTCCCCAAGGAAATGGCAGCCACGGCCACACGGCCCTCACCTTGTCCTTGAACCTGCCGGTGTCAGACTGCGGAGGAACAGCGTGATGAATGGCAACTTACCGTTAGGCATCCCATAAGACTTTGCTCAAAAGGACGTTGGAAGGCTCGGGGGTCACCACACCAGTCCAGCAGCTCGGTTGCAGCTGTTTGGAAATTTGCTGGGTTTTGTAAGTGCTGAAAAAAATAACAATAAAATAAGTTGTGAAATATTTAGAGGTCAGACGGTGCAGAGCAGAGACATTTGAAAGGAATAAACAGATTTTTAAAATAAATGCCAGACTGCAGTTCCTAATTACAGACACTAGTTGTTATGACATTTTTAGAGACTAACAATATCAACCAATTCAAAGCCTTTTAAAACTTTTAAAGAATGACTGAAGAAGAACTTTTTCATATGTCATGAGAGTTACATATTTAGTCTACTTAAGTCTATTCATTAATAAAGTTTAAATCTAGACTTATTTTATTTTAAAGTTTAAAATTTTGCCTCAGTATTTCTCTGCGAATCAGATTTTGATGAATTAGTACAGGATAAAAACAGGTGAAGAATAAAGTCGGACTACTTGATTCTTATTTCCCCCCTCACTTTTTCAGAAGAGGACAGTGACAGAGAAAATTAATTGTTACCAAAAGGTATTAATGAATATTTAAATAGACCTGGACTACAATATTTGCGGCTGGTTTAAGACACATTTTGCCTAATCAGGCTTTAGATTACTTTATGCTGTGGTCTTAAAATATTAATGCTCAGAGGCTGAAGTGCTTCGTCCCTATTGGTCACAGGCCTCCAGATCTCTGTCCAGGTTCGTGTTGCACTTCCTAACTACACACTGAAATAAATGTCCTTGTGTGGCTGTATAAAAGCAGAGGAAGGCCCTTAGTTCAGCAGCCAGCTCTGAGCAAGGCTGTGACTTTTTCTGACAACAGGCTCCTTGACCTGCAGACACCCCCTCCTCCCCTCCCCTACCCTCTTCCCCTCCCTTTATGGCATTCACTCCCCAACCGGAGCCAGCAGTTCACACACCAGCCTCTTTTTTCTACCTCACTGTAGAGCTGCACAGGGAACCACAAAATAGACTAGGTCACCATTTCTGACTCGACACCGGTCACTGATGGTGCGTGAAAACCTACCAAAACACTGAACAGCAGACTGATCCTCACCGCAGCAGGGAGACAACGCAGAAAAATCTGTTCCTGCTCCGTTACAATTAATGCAAACAGAGGTTTATCAGTTCCAAATCAGTAGCAGCCGCTCATCATACAAGTGTTTTCATTTCAGTGTCAGGAAACAAGAAGAAAAGGACCCAACAGCTGCACAGACACTGCCGTTTCCTCACTTGCTCTTTAGGGGGCAGCAGAGGTCAGGATTTGGCAAAACAGCTTTCATATCAATTCCTGGAGCCAGTGTTTGACAAGGGCCGGATGAAACTAGTCTTGTTTATTTTATGCTCTGTCCGACAACGTTTCCCCTCTGCTCTGATACACTCTTTGTTAGGGAACACTTGGATAATGTTGACGTTTGGTTAGCATGTCAGTTCTACTGCTGAAAAAATCCACAGATGCTAAATTTAGACGGGTCTGGAAGTGAGACAACACATAACATCAGCACACCAGGGATAGTCACGGGGGAGAGGGAGAATATTAGGGGGCGGAGAGGGGGTATAAAAGGCAACCATCGCCACCACTTGCGCTTCAAGTGATTACTGTTCTTTGCACTCAGAACAATTGGTCCCACCAGTGTGGCTGTCACGGAGAGAGCTTGGCACTGACATGCCACAGATGTTACCCCCCCCCTCTCTGGCCAAAACCCACCAATCAAACCTAAACTAGTGGCCAAGAGAGCCCTCACTCCTCCCTCCTCAGTCTCATCCCTGTGGGTGAGACGTATCCTCCACCGTTTACACCCCAGTTTAAGGTTTGGCCGTAAACAAAGACAGAGCGAGACTTTCCTGTGTCCTGAGATTACAGCTTTCTCCAGACACTGCCGTCGTCTGTGGCGGCGTCTGGGAAACGACTTGATCTGCACATCTGTGTCTAAAGTGGACGTGACAGCCCGCGGTCGGGGCAGAGAGTCCCCGTGCTTTCAGACACACGGCTGCCACTGCCGTTGATCCATATTCACTGACACCCTACAGTACTAGAGATAAATGAACGGAGACAATTAACCCAAGGAAAAGGCAGGGTGGAAGACAAACAGCAGCAGAGCCAGTGCAGCAGCAGCAGCAGCAGCAGCCTCAGTACAGGGTGGGGTGTCTTATCTTCTAAGTATTGACACTCCGACTTTGAGGAAGTGCTCCTGCAGCGAAGGGAGACTTCATCATTTCCGCCCAACCCCTGTACGTATCACTCTGCGTGGAGAGTCTGACAGCAGTGTAAGCTCTCCCCACACTGAGACAGAAAAATACTGCCTCTGAAATAGATACCAGCCGTATCACAAATCCCATCTTCTCCAAAGTGTTCACAACGGTGCAATTCTAGGATGAGCGAGGAAAACAAACTGCCGCTGAGGAACTGTGCGCTGTGGCGAAATCAGATAACTGCAGCTCTTTGTATCACTTTCTAAACATCTTTGTTTGTTTGGAGGTTAAACAAGTGAACATATTTATTTTGCAGTAATGCTATTTTTTAGGGGGTAAAGACACAGGGTCTGTTCAAAAGGGTATCTAACAGCAGTTAGCTGGGGTGAGAGAGAAAAGTCAGCGTGTATATAAATTATATATATTTTTTGCTATAAACAACACTGGGATGCTTTTGATAGTGGGAGGATTGATGGATGAATGGATGGATGGATGGATAGATGGATGACTGTATATATCTATGGGTGGGTAAATTAATATGAAATTTAACAAAAAGATTAATTTACATGTTGCACATTTGTATATTTCCTAGCTTTTCAATGTAATTTCTGAAGTCATTTAATCAATCGTAAGAATATTTAATTAGACTGTTAGTCAAATAGAATATAATATAATATAACATGATACATTTAACAGGTTTGCTGTGAATAACAGTGTTTTCACGGCTCATAAAGAGATTTGTTAAGTCATTGTTGAAAAGTCACATCGTAGCAATTTCACAACAAGAGGCTGATTTAAAAATTACCACTCTAATGATTTCTGATTCAGTTTTCAACCTGTGATTCAATCAGGCCGGCGGATTCCAATTTCCTCCACTTTATCATTGCGCTAAGCAGTAATTTATCATTTGTGCAACAAAATCAATTTGTTCCCCTGTCCGCCGCACTGGCTGGGAGTGTTCAGACACACATGTCACATCCCTCACAACATAACACAATGGACGGCCCTTCATTTATATTCCCATTTCATGTCCACCCTGCCTTTAGGATGCCAATTTTTTTTTTTTAGCATGTGCACACTTTCAATTAAAGCAAACAGCTGGATTGGTTTACAATATTTTCTTAATTATTTTAATGGCTTGGATATTGGACAATGGGGAGCGAGGGGGAGAAGATAGTGAGTTAATTGTTCTGATCTCCCCGGATGATCATCTTTGTGTGTGGGGAGGAGAATAGACGGCCGGCTGAATGGGCTCACTGCTCGTCTAATTGGCAGGACATAAATGGTATTTATTATGCAAGTCTTCCAAACCCCGATTGTCTGTGGCACAAAGCTGCCTCTATTAGCAGGGTGCTGGCTCTTACTGGCTGGTTTGAAATGACCCAGTGCTTAACCATTTATTAGATAGACTGGAGGCCTCCTTGTACACCATGGATCTCTCTAATTACCATGTTTACCCATGTGCTGCTGCCCTGGCCACTGACACTAGAATGGCTTGGGTTTTTTTTGCTTTGAAGGGTTAATAAATATAACCCTACTTTATTTGGGTTGTTTGACCTTTTCAATTTCCTTTTGGGCTCCGTTAACCTATTTTAACAGCGATCAACGGAAAAGTGTGGGAATTTAATCCGGTTTCACCTCCTGTGTAGATGTAGGATGGATTATTGAATATTTAATCTCCATGAAAAAGTGTAGACTGGGGCTCTTTACGTCTCTCTACTTCAAAACATTGAAGTACGTCTCCCCACGCAGACTGCTCCTTCTGTTTGCTCCCCAAACAATCAGCCTCCATCTCTAACTGCTTCACCTCATATCTCTGTCTCAGTAACAGCTTCAAACCCCCGGCCCACAGCTAAACAACTGGCCACGTCCACACTGGGGTGTGAGTACAAGCCCCGCTCACTCTCCCTAAGGCTTGGGATGTCGTTCTCAGGAGGTGGACCTCCTCGTGGAGGCCAGAAACAAAACTTGCCATCAGTTAAAGACGGGAGATCAAAGGCGGAGAGCCCAGTAGCCCCGGGTTACGCAAGTATGTCTGTTTAATTCTGCTGGAGATTGGTCCTGCAGTAAATGGTGGTGAGAGGAGAACAAAAGGACTCACTGGGAGTCAGCGGCAGTGTATGGAGAAAGAAGCGTGATGAATGGGGAGGGAGAGAAGCCCCCCGCTCTTTGACCCCAGTCAGAAACCTGAGTCACACCACAGGCCTGATGATAGGACCAAACACATTAGTCAAACAGGAAGACACAGACACAGTCAGGCCGTGCCTGTGTCTGCGTCAACATGTGTGTACAAGCAGCCCTGACGTTTTCCTTCACCCTTTATTTAACTAAATAATAATGGAACAAATTACATCTGTGAAACATCAGGTATCTTCAATTACAACTGACCAGATTAAATGAAAAGGGTAGGGTTGTCAAAATGAAGGTAAAACCCACTCATCACTGCTCCACTACACAGTCAACACACACGCTGTTGTTTGCACACACTGCAGGACATATTTACGGCTGGTTAGTAATTTGTAAAATTTGTTTTTATAAATAAGCCCTTTGTTTTGTTTCCAAAGAAATTGTGAAAATTCAGTGCGTTTACGTGGAACTGAATCCCAGGCTTAAGTAACTTAGGAGAACCAGATGGCCCTCTGAATGTTTTTAACAGTATCAAATCTGGACCATGTTGTGAAAAAACTGGACCCCTCTGTTTTCATGTTGTAATCAATTCATCTTTTATTTTTCTATGGCTGTTCCAGGTCCATCTGTCGGAGGATTTGACTCTTATCGTGCATTATTTTCCCCACTCTTCTTATTAAGTTTGTAAAAAGTTTGTATTTCATTGTTTGTCGACCAAAAAGTCACCTCAAGATGAATCCTAAAAAAGTATAAGCATGATGGAAAGGTAACATATTTTCTGATATGTAAGTTCTGACTTAGGGCAAAAATTCAAGTTATGATGTTACTGGACCTGAACCCTGACGTAAGATGAGGACCTCCTGTATTTAAGAATATAAATTACTTCAAAAATCTCTCTCTGAGTGTGTCCCAGACAGTGTAAGGGTAACCCAGTAGAGGTCACTCTAAACCCAGAATGACAACAAATTGTATAGAAGACAGTGAGGCCATGTTGTTTTGCTAATAGACGTAAATAAAAACTATAGTCATTTAAAGTCCCGGCTGAAGTCGACTGGAGATGTTTCACCAGATTCAATGTGACTCTATAAATGGAAGCCTAAGGGAAAATGAGGTTACTTGTCACGTGATTTATAGCACAAACCTTCTCCTCAATAATTTATAGTCTGGACGACTTTCAGCTCTTCTCCAGGTGAATTGAATTATGCCAATTTTGTAAATTACTTTCACATTTAGAGGAGGCGAATTTGCAGAAAAGGTAAATCTCAACGGGATACTCTGGTCGAGACGTTCATCAAATCAAATGCACAAAGTTTAGAAAAGCAGACAAAGATAATCTGTGGGAAAAGAGTGTCTCTCTCACCTGTTTGATACACTGCAGACGGTCATTGGTCTGCTGTATGTGTCTGTCCATTGACGGAATAGAGTTCATGATGATTGTCCCTCTTTGGCCTCTACCTGCCAGCCATTAAACTGGAGCTTTCTGCAACAGAAACACAGACATGTGTTAAAGCTTGCCTCTTCCCAGGGAAGCTGCCAAATCCCATCAGCACCAGGATATTACACCGTGTGTCTATACGTGTGTGTGTGTGTGTGGAGCTGGGAGCTGAGCAAGGAGGTATTGATCTGGCAGGTGACAAGCACCTGAGAGAGCCGATGACATTTCTCTCAGCTTTACTGACACCCTTAACAAGCCCTGGTGGTTGCCCCAAAATCCCCGACACACTGGGCGACTCAGTTGCAATGTCTCATGTTAAAAGCACCTTAAGGTAAAAAAAAAAAAAATCCCCGGAGATAAGGTCACACTCTCACACACAAAGACATCCTGACTGGCTTTCTTCAGAAAACGACATGAAAAATCCCATCCTGGCCTGTGAGAACATTAACTTGGCATGTGATTGGCTGTTTACATTACTCAGCTATTATGTAATCTTTGGTTAACAATTATCTGTACCCTGGGCCCAGACATGCTCCACATTTCATCTCACTTTCGTCTCCTCCTCCCACTGCTCTCCAGCAACTTTAGAGTTCCTCTAAAAAAAAACAAAACAAAAAAAAAAAAAAACCCTAGCAGCGCACTATTGATTTTAGAGCAGCAGCTCATGGAAAATCTCATTCTCTTTCTTTTTTTTTTCTTCAGTGGAATAATTTTTCACAGAAAGACAAACAATGGGGTGATGGCGTGACATGCTACATAACATTATCACAAGTTGAAAAGTATTACAAGCTACATTAAAGGTTATCAATTCTGCTCACGGGGGTCTGATTTAATGTTGCATTCAACGGCGAATAAATATCTGTCGGCCGTAAGTTATGGCGACCTGCAGCTTCACGTGGATGGGTGAGTGAATTAATAGGCACATGTATGGGCGGTGGTTGGAGACTCAGCACCCCCTCCGACCTCCCCTCCACCTTCTCCCTGCCACGCTCCCCCTCTATTTCATCCTGTCTCAATCTTTCCTGAGCGCCACTGCAGGGGCATCTCCTCCTGCAGTAGCAGTGTTTCCTCCGTCTTTCTCCAACACACACACACACACACACACTCACCCCTCCCACCTCAATGCCATCTTTCTCCATTACTATTACACAGTGAGAAATTTCACTGCACAAAGTACCGGTGAGCTGAGGGAGCGAAGAGAGGGAGAGGAGCAGAGAGAGAGGAGGCAGCACGCTGCACCACACTGATAATACTCACTTAGGGGTCCCTGGCTGGATTTAACGGCAGGGTCGGTAATCTACTCCACTAGACAGCTAAAGAGCTTTTATGCTACCTATTGGTGCTGCTCATGCCTTTGCTCGAGAGGAGAGAAGGGCTCACAAGTGCATTCCTCCCCATAAATTAGAAAGCTCATTAAAAACGGAGATCTCGGAGGATGTTTTCCCGCTCTTTGAACATTAAAAAAAATGCGTTTGTTGATTTGTTTGAAGGCTCACATCTGTGCAGGCATTTCAAAATTGAAGAGGGGACCGGTACGTTTTTAAAGATTTTTTTTTTTTTTTGCCGGTTAAAAATAATTCATGTTTAATTTGAATTTATCATTAAAGACATGTTTAATTACACTCTCACAGAGCTGCGAGGAAAAGGTTTGTGCAGAGCATTAAATACACTGCTAAGTCCACACAGGGACGCTTTGCACCTCCCTCTGGAGCGTACTGCTGCACCTCTCTGCCCCCCTCTCTGTGTCAGCTGATACTGAGATGATCCATTGTTGCGGGTGGCCCTGTACCATTGTGCCCCTCAGTCACCAGTAGGTGTCTCCCTGGCCCTTCAAAGCTTTGGCTAGTGGCATAAAGAAGGCGGAGCGGCATTGCTTTAAGCCTTTACAAGCTCTACAAATCCTCAGCTGCTGCTTCCTAACAGGGCCCACTCAGCCCAGCACTGCCTGTCTGACCTTGTGGTTATTGATGAGCGAGTCGACCTGCTCTCTCGTCTCTCCTCCCTCCTACCCTTCCCTTGGCTCCCTCCCTCTTTTCTCCCTCCATGTCATTTCTCTTACCTCCAGCGGCGAGGTGAAATAAAAGGAGGGGTCGGAGGTAGGGGCTGCCATTCACCTCCTCTGCCTCTCTCTGCTCCCTACATATGGCAACAATATTTCTGACCTCCTCCCACCATCTCCATAGTTAAAAGATCATTTTGTGTATGACATGGCAGGACTGGGGAGTAATTGAATTTCACTTGATCTAATTAAACATGCACCCTTTGTTATAGCGCTAATGACTAGCAAGAGCCAAATTAAAGATTAAAGACACAATACTGTGCAGATATGACAACAGATGCAATTATGCGTCCTCCCTTATTTACTTGGTATTTTTAATCTTACAGATGTTATCATCTATTGGTTTCTACGCACCATTACCTAATATGAACTTGATAACTAGAGAAATCCTGCTTCAGTGTGTGTGTGTGTGTGTGTGTGTTAGTTGATGCGGATACATGCATTGCTTGAGCTTAATTTACTGCAAATTGCACGGCAGGCATTACACAACAAGTTTAGAGCGGTGGATTCCTGCACAACAAAAGACACATGGGGGAGTAGAGTGAGGGGAGGAGGGAGACCCGCTCTCTTTTCCTATTCAAGGGGGAGCTAAAATATATGTATTGAGTGGGAACTCTAATAAAACGAACCGGGTGAGGAGATGCAGGCTGGGAACAAATATGAAAGGCAGTGGACTATGGCGACGAGGCGATGGAGCACCACCGGAGGATTGGATGAAATTATCTCTTTATAATCAGGGGCCTTCTGCATGGCTGGATTCTCCATTGCCCGATGACAGATGAGGCCTACCTCTTCAAATGGGCTTTTCACAGTGCTATCAGCCCACCTCCAGGGTAAAACAATATTTTTCTTCCCCCTAGTACCACCACTTTAAAGGCTTTGTTTCCATGTGGCACCCCGCAGAGCAGAGGACCGAGTCCCAACAGGCGGGGTCCATGTTTGTCTCATTTACGTCCTTATGTTATATAAGTGTACTTTGGAAACGGAGGCACGCTTAATTAGATGACAAAACCGTGCCGAGGACAGAAGTGGAGATGGTGCTGGGGGAAAAGGTGAATAAATTGCAACATTATCTTCAGTAAGTATGAGAGGTTGCTTTTTGAACTGTCACAACAGCACAGTTTGGAGTATAAACATGATTTCAGACGCCCCAAACCCGCCTCTGCTTCTTCAAAGAGAGCCTCCATCCTGCTAATGAAATGTACACTGGCTGCGTGTCTCAGCACCGCAGGATAAAAACAGTGTGAGGGGAGAAAAGTAGACAATGATTAGCTTTATCCCACCATCACAGCAGAACAAATGGATCACGATCCCGTGCCACTTTACACACTCTCTCAGCTGAGCTGTCAAGGCACAGGGAAGTGGTAAACACATTTAATTTATTCATATAAATGGCTCGTGAACCAAAACAGTCAGGCTACTCTGGGGTGCGGCACGCTGCGCGTGTTTGGCTAAACGAGAGCTATGATAAAAATCTGGCTCCTGTGATATGCCATTTTGGTTTGTTAGGGCTGCAGCTGAGCATCTGGAACTCAGAAGTTATTTCAAAATATTTAGGTATAAAACAGTTCTGATGATTCTGTCTTAACATCTCATGCTATAATAACTGCTTTATTTTTAACTTAAGAAAACTAAGAATTTTCTCCTCTCACATTCAGGTCAATAAAAACTTAACTTAACTTAACTAAAAGTTCTAAGTGGCGCTGGCTTTTTTCCTTAACATAATTGTGTGAAATCATAAAAGCCGGCATGTAATTAAATCAGAATTTATATAAGAGAGATTTTTTCTCTGATATATTTATATAAGAGAGATTTTTTCTCTGAATGATTAAAATCTGCAGTTATTGCATTAAAGGGAGGTAAAGGGTGAGTATGCAAGGATTTCCATTACAAAGTTACTGTAGAACAACACCAGAACAATACCCAGATTGAAGAATGATTTAGGAAACATATGTCAAACTCAGGGCCCACGGGCTAAATGTGGCCCGCCACATCATTTTATGTGGCCCACCAGAGCGTACGGTTGTCTTACAATGTTGAGTTAAGTTAACGTTTTAATGGAGAAACATATGTAGCAATGAATCAAGATTTCCTTCCTCAACACTGACTCACTGAATCAACTCTGGGACACACAAGACGGGGAAGTTGGACCCTACAGGAAGTTAAACACAGCAAGCTGCGCTGGGCACCGTATGGACCACACACACATACACACACATACACACACACACAGATCTTCTCACCTTCCCTCGAGTGCTGGACCGCTGTCATGATACCATAACAGTCACCCTCAGTCGCTCCTAATGTTCTTTACAACAACACTACAGGCAGGGTGCTACACCCCTCCACACAGCAGTGTGATTCACACCCAGAAACACACACACACGCGCATACGCACACACCACTGATTGCAAACTGTATGTATCGCTGACTCTATTAAATGAACCAAAGTGGGCTGATCAGAATAATCAGCAGTGCCGTCTCAGAGACATCAAGACTCAAGGTGATCCGGTCCACACGTGTCTTCAATTGTAGGTGAATTAGGCAATAAAGGCCTAATCTGTACCATCATTGACTAGGGCATGGGTGTTTGCTGCACTTGCTTAAGGGCGATAAAGATTACGGAGGCAGCGAAGAGGGGAGGAGAAGAGAGGAGGAAACATCTTCTCACCCCCATGATTTTAATGAGCTTTGATTGGTGGACAGTGTGTGTCTTGTTTTCTTCCGAAAGTCGGCCGAGGCCGGCGCGAAAGCTCCACTTTAATTATCTCAGCATTGTGGAGAGATGCCGTTTTCTCGCGCGGAGGGGAGAGGAGGGGTGTTTGGTTTGGAGAGGGCAACTCCAGGACTCCAGGTGTCCGCCTGGTTCTCCGCCTGGTAAGTGGCCAGAGAGGCAGCAAGGACAAAGCTGTGTTTGTTCGACAGAGGAGAAAGCCGAGAGGATGGAAATGTGTACGATTCTGCAGCGCTCCATTGTTGCTTTACA